GAGGAGGCAGTTACGGTAGTGTTTGCTGGAGGTTTGAGTAAAACAAACAAGCAAATGAATGGTAAAGCAGTACCATTTAATTGGGAAAATACTTGGTAGTACTTACAAATGTTGAACATACTGTGACCCATCTGTTTCACTCCTAGGTATATACCCGACAGAAATGCAAGCATATACCCACCAAAATTCATAATCAAGAATGTTCATAGAAGCGCAATTCATAATAACAAAAAACTAGAAACAACTGTCCATCAGCAGTAGAGTAAGAATAATATATCGTGGACTGTTTATACAATGAGATGCTGTACAGCAATGCAAAAGAACTAAACTATTATTCTCTGTAATAAAGTGAATAACTCTCCCATAATGTTCAGCAAAAGAATCCAGATGTAAATGAATATTCATTCTATTTATATAAAAAAGTTAAAAAGCAGGAAAAACTAATATTTGGGGCTAGAATCAGGATAGTGCTCATTTTGGGAAGGGCTGATTGGGAGGGCACATGAAGATTTTTGAGAGCCCCATATATATGTGTGTGTGTGTGTGTGTGTGTGTGTGTGTGTGTGTGTGTGTGTGTGTATGTTATACTTCAATAAAAAGTTTTCTTAAAGAAGGGGAAAGGAGATGAGTGAAGTGTATTTAAAAGTTCTTGACTCCTTTTCACCATTCTCTTATGAAAATGACAGTGGCCCCTAGATGCAGAACTCCATCTACTTTGCTCTTGCCTCTGAGGTGTGCTTGGCCTGTCAAAATTATATTCTGGCTTGGTTTACCAGAGAAGTCATAATCTAAATCTATTGCAGTTATTTGTTATGTAATATTTGATGTATCAAAAAGCATATTGCAGCTTTAGAAATTATTTTGTGGAAACAATCAATAACTGTTTTAGGGAAAACTTGTGCTTTCCTCTAAACTCCACACAACAACAGTCATCAACACAGAAGAAAACTTCTGTGACCAAATGTCGGGTTCCCCCACCCCCCACACCAAGCAGTGGACACCAGCTGGGTGTCCTCTAATTCAATTCTGGCATTGTCTACCAAGAGATAGCGTCAGATTCCACACGGTGAAGGCTCAGTCCCCAAAACTGTCCCCCCACCCCCATCCCTTAAGATGCCAGTTACAAGTTCGGGCCTTTGGAGCTTCTGGCTGACCAGCTTCAAATTGGTAGTTCCCATGAACCTGCTTTGGGTTTGATTAATTTGCTGGAGCAGCTCACAGAACTCAGAGAAACACATTTACTGGTTTATTATAAAGGATGTTACAAAGGATACAGATGAAGAGATGCATATAGGGTGAGGTATGGGGGAGGAGGCATGGAGCTTCTATGCCCTCCCTGGGTGTACCACCCTCCAGGAACCTCTGAACCCTGTCCTTTGTGCCTTTTATGGAGACTTCATTGATTGTACGTGGTTGAAGCATGGACAACCGTGTTGAAGTGTGATTGGTCAAAAAGAGTGTGATCCAAACCCAGCAAGGCCTGTCATTTAAGATTCTTTTTGCTCTCCCTGTAGCATTCCTTTCTCCAGAGTATGGGGCAGGACCCCCTCTGGAATGAGGGTCTTATGACCCAGAATCAGATTGGAGTCCTACCTTGGGTGGGTGAAAGGAGGACAGGAGAAGGTCAGAGAGAGATTCTGTTTCCTAAGGCCTGCTTCTGAGGCCTAAAGCGCCCCAGCATTATAACAAAAGACTGTAACAAGGGTTATGGAAGTTATGAGCCAGGAACCATGAGTGAAACCTACATGTGTGTGTGTGTGTGTGTATTTTTCTTTATATATAAAATAATAATATCACAGTAAGAAAATTTGAACCCCTTTGTTAGAGATTTTTTAAATTAGAATGGTTTTGAACTTAGTAATCATATAAATTCAGGCTACTTTACCTCAACATCCTCCTGCCCCCATGAGTAATTGGGTCTTCATTAGTCTAGGTGTATGGATCGGAATTGGAGCCAGAATTTAAAACCAGGTCTAATGACTCCAAGATTATTATTCTTCCTTTGATACTGTGTTCCTTTCTCTTCAAGATTTTTGTCTCAAATCCTTTTTGGAACAAGGAATGCATACGGTCATTCAAACTTTACAAGTACAGGTTTTCCCAACAGTTTGAGAATACAAGATGGTTTTAAATTTGGTTCTTCTTTGTAAGTATAGCTACATTTTTCGTGAAGTCATATAATGTGCACATTGCTTTGTAAAATGGATTGTCTCCTCTTATGCTAAGGCAGAAAGCCTGGGAGGTCTTCTAACCCAACAACAGACATGGTATATTTCTGCACTTGAGTCATAAAACTTGGCACTCTGTGTGTTATAAAAATTTGTTGATGGCCGGGCGCGGTGGCTCGTGCCTATAATCCTAGCACTTTGGGAGGCCGAGGTGGGAGGATTGCTTGAGCTCAGGAGTTCGAGACTAGCCTGAGCAAGAGCGAGACCCCGTCTCTACTAAAAATAGAAAAAAATTAGCCAAACAACTAAAAATAGAAAAAATTAGCCGGGCATGGTGGCACGTGCCTGTAGTCCCAGCTACCAGGGAGGCTAAGGCAGGAGGATCGCTTGAGCCCAGGAGTTTGAGTTGCTGTGAGCTAGGCTGACGCCATGGCACTCTAGCCCAGGCAAGAGAGTGAGACTCGGTGTCAAAAAAAAAAAAAATAAATAAAAATTTGTTGAATGATCAGAAGGTTAACATTTGAATCCTATCTGTGCCATTTAATAGCATTTTGGACTTTAGATAATTTTCTTAGGTTACTCTTTTGAGGCTCAATATTCTCAGCTATAAATGGGGAAAAAACTAATACTGAGGATTGTTATGAAGATTAAATCAGATAAATGTTTCATTATCTATGACTGTGTAACAAATTATCCCAAAACTTAGTGGCTGGATACAGCATACATTTAATCCTCTCACTTTCTGTGGTCCAGGAATCCAGGAGCAGCTTAGCTTAGCTTAGCTGGGTGGTTCTGGCCCGGGTCTCTTATGAGGCAGCACTCACGGTGTCAGCCTGCATTGCAGTCATTTCAAGGTTCAACGGGAGTTGGATCTGCTTCCAAACTCACTCATGATTCTGGTGGCAAGCCTCAGTTCTTTGCCATGTGAGCTTCTCTACAAGGGCTGTCTTACTACCTGGCAACTGGCTGTCTTCAGAGAAAGCATCCAGGATGGAAGCTATAGTTATTTTTAACTTAATATTGGAAGTAGCTTGTCATCACTTTATCTGTCCAATGTTAGGAGAGAGTCAGTAAGTCCAGCCCACACTTAAGGGGAGATGATAGCATGAAGACCAGCAGGCAGGGATTGCTGGGGGCTCTCAGAGGCTGCCTGGCACAGTAAGAAAGCAGGTAGCATGTTGCCCAGCAGATAATGTTCTGCCACACCCAAGATATATTTTTTTCGTATTTGTTAATTGTTTATTTATCAAGAGAAACTATTCCTCAGCCCTCATATTCATAGCTCAGGAACACAGATCAGTGACTTAACTTCTATGTAAATCAACCCAGAGAAATTCTTTTATATTCTAAAATCACTTTGCACTCTGAAAGATGCCAGCCTTCCTCATCTCCTCAAAATCTTTCATAGAATCAAAATTCTATAGAAATCTGCATATGCCTTCTTTCTTGGTTTAACCACACCAAACTTTATACAAAGCTGCAACCCCCAGGGATACAGTGAATGCTCCGACAACATGAAACCGCAGATACTTGGCCAGGAGGCCATGCATCTGAGGTTTCATCAAAGCACAGGAAGCCATGGTAGTTACTGTCCTTGATAGATATGCCAACCTCAACATGTCCTTCCTAGCTGGTGGAGAAATGAACTACCTCACACCCCAAGATATTTTATCCTTTAATAGAATGATACCTGGTAACAACCTAACCACCATGTGGGCAAACAGGATGTTGAATCTTAATATATGTAAAATGGACTATAAGAGGATGACCAGAAATCAGAATCTCCTAATTTTCAGATGCCATTGTTCACTTTTTATTCCTCCATTTTTAGTATGGTTTAATGAAAAGGATTGAGTTTGTCATTGAGAGAATATGTAACTTTTATAATTGTAAATTGAGGACTTCAGTGTATGTTGTTCTGCTTTTTCAACTACTGTTAATGTGAGATTTAGTGAACGTTATGAATTATATGTTAGCACATGTGGAATGGTGACTAAAGGACTTGCACAATTTAGAATTATCTTGTCCTTTTAAAGTACCAATTTAGTTTACTTGGCATAGCAGGCTCTCTTATCATTAATGTAACTCTGGAGACATTAAATTAGACATAGCTTTGACTTCTGTCCAAAAGCAATTTTTTGTATGCCTATATTGCACTAGATACTAGAGTAAATGAAAAATTTTAATGTACAGTTTATACTTCTGAATTTACAGTCTGTTTCAGAATAAAAGAGAGGTTGCAATGTAGAGATCACCTATTTAGGCAGAATCACGAGTGTTGGTTCTGTGAAATAAAGTATATAATAAAAAAATATTGTATAACTTAAAAAAAATACATGCTGGTAAGGAAGGATTGGCAAGATACATTGTTGTATGAAAATAGCAAGGGTACAAAACAACATGTGTAACATTCTAAGGGTGGCGTTTGTGTGTGTGGATGAGGGTATACTACAAAAGTATACCCATGGATGGTTTTTGGAAGGCTTTATAAGAAACTCTTGATGACGGTTATTCTGGGGAGTGAGACTCTGAGGGTCTTGTGTAGGAGGAAGATTGATTCACTTTTTGTTGCATGCCTGTTTTTTTAAATGCACGTATTATTTTAATTTAAAAAATAATTGTCCAGTGGATGAACATTCAGCTTTAAGAAATTTGTCTAATAATATATGCATATATTAATATTTACAGTTACTTTATTGATACTTCCTGAACATTAATGCGGACACATTTGCAGGGAAGCATGATTTGAGCTGTAAAGTTTGTTTTCAAAATCTCTACTAAACGTGGCAAAAGCTCATGTTTACTTACCATGTTTACTTATTTCCTTTACAGGGAGACCAAATTTTGAGGAAGGAGGGCCAACATCAGTAGGGAGAAAGCATGAGTTCATACGGTCAGAAAGTGAAAACTGGCGTATCTTTAGAGAGGAACAAAACGGAGAAGATGAAGATGGTGGTTGGCGACTAGCTGGATCAAGAAGGGATGGAGAGAGGTGGCGGCCTCACAGTCCTGGTAAGAAGTCTATGTAGTGAAGGCACAAAAGGACTGAAATAAGGGATAGTTTGATAGAAATAGTTAGGGATAAAGTGGAAAAGATAAGCTGGTTAAAAAAAAAAGAATCATTTATGCTATCACACTCAGTCTTATTACTATAAAAGATTTTCAACATAAAAATTTACCAACGCATCTGTTCAGTTGATTGAAATCACTTTTCTTTCTTTTTTTCTTTTTTTTGGGGGAGAAGTGAGGGACAGATTAATGTAGTGGGAAGCACCTGTCCTCAACTGCAAAAACGAGAGAAGGTTTCATTCAGTTTTACCTAAATCTTTAAATCTTTTTTTAGCATTCTTTAAAACTTATAAATGTATAATTATACACTTTAAATATGTGCCCCATCTGTGAAAATGAATGTTTTTCCTGTATAAGAAAGGATTTATTCTTTCATTTTTTTCCATCTTAAAAATGTGATTTAACCTTATTTAAAGAATAAACTTTAAACCTAGGTCAAAAACATAATCACAAGTTCATTCTTTTGTCCCTCTAACATTAGAAAAAGGAGAGAGAATAGTAGTGATTAGTGGTTTTTAAAGTTCTTCTGTTTGTCTCTTAAGAATGCTTCAAACTGTTCTTCTCAGACATTAGATATGGTGGTAATTGAAGACACTGGTGCTTTGTATTGAAGTTCACCCAAGCCACGGTGCTGATTCCATGTCTCATGATAATCAGATGCAACTACAGTTTGAGCCATGGGGTCACATAGAATTGAGGCAAACAGTGTGAACATGCCTGATGAACTTGATATGCATAACAATATTTTATCCACCATGTGCAAGAAAGTGTACTACCTCTAATAGAGGAAATTATAATAATGTTACCTGTTTTCACTTTTTAAAATCAAGTTATTAGCAAAACCACTAGCCTAGACTTGAATAGACAATATAACAAGCATTCAGAGTGGAGTTGTAGGTAGGTAGAAACATAGTAAAGTTAATCTTTGGGTAGAGTTATGATGCTTTTATGCTAACTCTTCCTGACTGCCTCTTAGGTGGGTTTTCTGTCCTTAGTGGGCATTGTTTACATCACAAGATTGAGGCAGTTCTCATCAGTTTGTCTCTTGGGCAACCAAATGGTATAATTCTCTTCAAGGCATCACGGCATTTTGCGCTGAGCTTGCCTATAAGCAGAAGGGTTTGTAGGCTATGTTCCCAACAAGTATACAGTGAAGAATGGATAGGATCTGGGCTGAGCGAGAAGAGAAATTGCAGCTGGTCAAAACTAAACAAGGTGAATGTTTTGGAAGATGAACAGTGTTTTCTGAGCCCAGATGTCCGATACTGATTTTTATTAAAGGGAGTTAAACAAAGTATCCCCCACTTAGCAACTTAGAATTTGGTTAGATACTATCTTTTTCTAAATCCTTCTTTCCCACTAATATTTGACTTTCATGTCAGTTTTGTCATCAATTTCAAAACCTTCCAAAATTTTATCTATATAAATATATATAGATTTTATATATGTGTATATGTGTGTATATATATGTATATAACTTACATATATTTTTTTTTCAGTCAGACCTATGACTGAAATCCACATTTTTTTTTTTTTTTTTTTTTGGGAGACAGAGTCTCACTCTTTTGCCCGGGCTAGAGTGCCGTGGCGTCAGCCTAGCTCACAGCAACCTCAAACTCCTGGGCTCAAGCGATCCTACTGCCTTAGCCTCCCGAGTAGCTAGGACTACAGGCATGTGCCACCATGCCTGGCTAGTTTTTTCTACATATTTTTAGTTGTCTGATTAATTTCTTTCTATTTTTAGTAGAGACTGGGTCTCGCTCTTGCTCAGGCTAGTCTCGAACTCCTGAGCTCAAACAATCCGCCCGCCTCAGCCTCCCAGAGTGCTAGGATTACAGGCGTGAGCCACTGCACCCAGCCTGAAATCCACATATTTTTTAAAGACAGTTTGGGGGATATAAAGATATATGGGTCTGAAAAAATTACTGTAAATGCATTTTCTTCTAAAAAGAATACCATCTATTTCCCCCCCCTTTTAAAAATTTTAATAGATTTAGGGGGTACAAGTTGAATTCTGTTGCATGTATGTATTGTATGGTGATGAACCATCTACTGTTTTAACCCAACACATTCAAAGTTTAGTCTGATTATAGCAGTTGTTACAAGTTAACTCTTAACATTTCTTAGACTGTAGTTAATCTTTTATTAGGATTTCAGTAAAATTTTAAGACTAATTGTTTTGACTGATTTTATCTTTATGAAAATAGTATCCAACTTGAGCTCAGATGTAAGGTCTATAAAGTAGTGGTCAGCCTTAATAAGCTATGGATCTGCCTTACCTGCTACCTTTAGTTTCATGAATAAAATTTTACTGAGCTGTGTGTGGTGGTGCAGCTGTAATCCCAGCTACTCTGGAGGCTGAGGTAGGAGGATTGCTGGAGTCAGGAGTTCAAGACCAGCCTGGGGAGCATAGTGAGGCCCCATCTCAAAAAAAAAAAACAAAGAAGAAAACACAAAATTTTTTTTTATTAACTATCAGTAAGACAGTAACAAACTGGATTACAGTTTTATTAAAGTAGGGCTTCCAGCCGGATATGTGTAGAGATTAGGATGTTAAGGACAGTGAAACATCTACTTGAGAGCTGAACTTAGGAAACTCAGTAAGAGGGAAACATGATCCAGGTGCCAAGAAGGATAGATTCCTATCACAGTGTACATTTAGATTGTTTAGAAATGATAGTAGTATCTGGAATTTAACATTTGCTCATGAAGACTTCTTTTGAGGAGTGGCTCTAAGTTTACATTTAAGCAATCTGGGTATAAAATTTCTGAGTTTCATAGTAAGTAATTAATAGTCTTTGTTGTTGTAAATAGGGATGGCAGTGTGTGAATAATGTATTCTTATCTTTTTGTGAGTGGCTTATAAGATGCTATCTGTATTTGGCATCTTAACATTTTTGCCCTTTATTTTTAGTTTGATTTTTAGGTTTCTGGTTTTAGCAAATTGGGCCCCAATAGTAAGAACATTTAACTTTGTGTGTCTTCCACAGAGAAAGCAATCAAGGATAGAAAATTCTAATAGAGTAAAGCCTACCTTTCTTTTTAAGACTTTTTAAAACTAAGATTTGCCAGATTTAATACCTTTTCTTTTTTTAGAAAAATACCTTAAGTAAGATCTTTTATTCTGAAGGCAGTCTTTTTCTGTTGGAAAGTAGATGCAGTAAATAGTATGCTAGGGTGGATTTAGGAATGTTCCTTGGGGTATTATATGGAAATAAAAACTCCCTGGGGAGAATTAAGAGATGAGAAAAAAGGGAAAGGACAGTAAGCATATTATTGTATAAAATGCCCGATTTCCTTAAGTACTAAGTTTGACAGTTGACATCTCTGACATTTCACTTTGACACTTGTTTTATTTTTACGGTGAAGGCACGTCCTCAGTCTTGCAAACACACATTTTGGCCTGTGATTATCTGTTAAATTTTTTTTTAGAGCAATTTTAGAGCATGGAGAAGTCAAAGATGAGTGTTATTTTCAAATATGAGTTCCATTGTGGAACCAGTGCAGTGCAGAATATCAACGAAGTGTTTGGGAAGGATGTGGCTAAGGAATGCACAGTACATCGATGGTTTGAGAAGTTCTGTTGTGGTGATTTTAATCTTGAAAATGAGCCATGTGGGCGACCTGAGACCAAGGTGGATAATGATGAGCTGAAAGCTGTAGTAAAAGCAAATCCATCTCAACCTACACGTGAATTAGTAGTAAGGTTTGATGTTACTATTCCAACAATGTTGGACTATTTGAAACAAATTGGCAAGGTAAAGAAGCTGGATAGATGGATTCTGCATGAATTAAATGAGCATCAGAAGAGAAATTGTCTCAAAGCTTGCCTTTCTTTGCTGTCATGACTTAAAGGTGAACCATTTCTGCACTGTATTGTTACGTGTAATGAAAAATAGATTCTTTTTCACAATTGTAAGCGGTCGGCACAATGGTTGGATAAACATGAAGTGCTGAAACATAGTCCAAAATTGAAAATTCATCAAAAAAAGCTAATGGTGTCAATTTGGTGGTCCAGCGCTGGTGTTATCCACTACAGCTTCATGAAACCTGGTCAGTTGATTACAGTGGATGTCTACTGCAACCAATTGGATGAAATGATGAGGATGCTTGCAATTAAACAGTGAGATTGGTTGGTAGAGACAGGCCAATCCTCTTGTAAGACAGCGCCGGGTCACGTATCACACAAATAACAGAGGCTGGACTTGGAAACTCTCTGTCATCCACCATATTCACCAGACCTTGCACCAACTGACCAGTACTTCTTCCAGGCTTTGGACCACTTGCAAAGAAAAATATTCAGTTCTCAACAAGCTGTGGAAAATGCCTTTCGTAGTTTCATCACCACTCACCCTCCAGACTTCTTTGCTGCTGGCATAAAGAAGCTACCGTTAAGATGGCAAAAGTGTGTTGATAGTTTAGGCACATACTTTGATTAATTGTACTGCTTCTTGTTTGAGATATAATAAACTACGCTTTTGATTCAGAATTGGACATTTCATATTTAATGATCTAATAGGTAGCAGAGGATGCGGAATTGGATTCTAGTTCTACTTTGTTGTTGTGCAGGTTGTTTCTGCTGTCAGAGTTTTACTTCTTAAACTATAAAATTAGGATAGTGGGCTAACTGTCAACACTATAATTCCTTGATATTTTGTTGGAAATTAGAATTACAAATTGGAACTTGGCAGTAATTAAGTAGGCATGATGACCTTGATATTATGAATTGACATAGGGAGCTGGTCTTATTCATAAAGGATATTTTCATGGGAAGAAAGGAAATGCTTTGAGACCTGCCAAAGGGAAGGCATAAACTTCAGTATGGACAGATATTTAATACTGTATGTCTGGCCTAGCAGTAGGCCACAGGAGTGGCTAATCAGCATTTTAGTCAGATAACTAAAGCTTATTAAAAGCTTATACTTCGAATAGTGTCTTTTAAACATGCTTTGTTTATCTTTTAAAGCTTTAGAGTATGTTGCATAGTTCAATACTTAAATAGTATCATTGTCACTTAGTGATGGTATATATACTCTGAGTGCTGAACTTCATTTAATTTGTCTAACTTTCTCTTTAGTAGGTTGATCCATTTGAATTTGCTGTCAGTGGTAGTTTTCTCCTTTATTTCCTATCCCTGATTTTATTTTTTATACACCACCCTAAAACTTTTCTAAGCTTTATGTCCGCCTCCTCATCCCAGATGGCCCTCGTTCTGCAGGCTGGCGGGAACACGTGGAACGACGTCGGAGGTTTGAGTTTGATTTTCGAGATCGGGATGATGAACGGGGTTACCGAAGGGTGCGCTCTGGCAGCGGGAGCATAGACGATGACAGGGATAGCTTGCCTGAATGGTGCTTAGAGGATGCTGAAGAAGAAATGGGCACATTTGACTCATCTGGAGCATTCCTCTCTCTAAAGGTAAGAAATTTGTTTTGAATGTCATGTCAGGCACTGACCTCATACCAAAGCCAAATATGCTCTTGACCTTTTTGTTTTATGTTCTTGCTACAGAAAGTACAGAAAGAATCTATTCCAGAAGAGCAGGAGATGGACTTTCGACCTGTGGAGGAAGGGGAGGAGTGCTCTGACTCTGAGGGTAGCCATAATGAAGAGGCCAAAGAACCTGATAAGACAAATAAGAAAGAGGGAGAGAACACAGATAGAGTAGGAGTTGGTAAGGTCTCTCTCTGCCTTTTACCCTCCCCCCCCCAAACCAAAACTTTCCTAAGTTCATTTAAGATTTCTTCATGTTCCAGAAGCTAGTGAGGAAACACCTCAAATCCCATCCTCATCTGCTAGACCAGGTTCTCCTTCAGACCATCAGTCTCAGGAAGCACCACAGTTTGAAAGGAAAGATGAACTTAAAACTGAGCAGACGGAGAAAGCTGAAGAGGAAACTCGGACGGAAAATAGTCTACCAGCCAAAGTGCCCAGCAGAGGGGACGGTATGTATTTGTCAGAGTGAACAATGTGTAAAATAGAATTCTGCTGAGGCCAGTGACCACTGATATGATAGACTTCTGGGTATACCTCCTAGAACTGCTTCGAATGGGTCAATTATTGGAACAGTAAACGCTGTCAAACAATGCTTTCCACATATGTATCCATTTCAGAATTCACCAAAACAGAGTTGGAATCTGCAAGGGTGGGGCTCAGGACTCTCACTTCCTAGAGAAGCCACTCTGTCATCACTCTAGCAAACTGGGGGTTGAATCTTTGCATTAGTTTGATTCCCATATCAGACAGTCCTTTCATGAAATGGCTGTTTGTGAACCCTACTTAAATTGCCAGATGACACACCAAAATGTCATTGTTCCAGAAGAGGACAAAAAGAGAACACGGATGAATCTGTGGCTTTCCATCACTTTTGCTAGGGAATAAACTTAAAATATGTCTCTTCCAGTGTTACTGTATTGGTTTAAATTGCTCACATACCTTATAAGGCAATATTAATGTTCATTTTCATGTTTTTTCTTGTACATATTTAAAAAATGACATTGTAATGCCTGATGTTGAAAGTTTAATTGTCTGATTCATTCACCATAAAAATTTACACCTTTAACATGGCATATGAGGAGCTGCATGATCTGTCATCTGCCTGTCTCCATGCAGTTTCAGCACTGGCATCTTTATCTCCCTCATATTCTACTCAACCAGCCTCAAAGCCTTTTAGATCCTGAAATGTGTCCTGTTTTCTTGCATTGATGCCTTAGCAACATGCTTTTCTCTATGCCTGAAACACTCTTCCACCCAAACCCCCCAAGCTAAGATAGGCATCTTTTCTTGTTTCTTAAATAACCAGCACTATTCCTAACATAGCACTACAATATTATAAAGATCTGTTTATCTTTTTTTCTTAATTGACTAATATTTTGGCAGATTGAACCAGTAATTTCTTTTCAGTATTTTATGTGTAAAAGCTGAATGAATGAATGAGTGAATTCATGAATTCAGCAAGTATTTGAATCTCTGTATATCAGGCACAATAGGACTTGTACGTCTTGAGACCTATTTGATTTGTAGTAGTTGTTTTCCACTAATTATGTTCCCCAGAATTACTTGTGGTACATTCTTTTGAATGTACATGCCTGAGGCCTTATTCTGGGAGATGTTAGGATTGAATTTAGACATGGGTATTTTGAGAAGGCTTCATAGATATGCATTAAAGATCAAAACTCCAGATTATTATAGTGCGTAGGGGAGATAAAGCATGCATATATCGATAATCCAGGGTGAAAAGTAATGATATGAATTCACTATTGGCAAACTCTTGGAATGCTTCAGGAAGGAGGTGGTCTTTGAACACATCTTGGAATAATAAATAGAATTTGGAGGTAGGCATAGCTGTATGAATTGGGAGAAGGCATTCCAATATTAGGGAGCAGTGAAAGCTAAAGTGAGGAAGTGGGTCTGATGCTGGCATGGGCAAGAATCAGGTCCTGTTTTTATTTAGATGAAGTATAAGGTGTGAAAAGGAGGATGATGGGAAACACAGTTTGAACATGAGTTGCAGGTTGTCTTCTTGTGACAGATGGGCTACACTGTGACCCATTAGACTCCTGAGCCGTCACTATAGGGTAGGTAGGCAGTGCACCTGTAAAGGGAGGTAGCAGCAGGTGAGATTTCAAAGTAGAAATTGGCAGGGCATAGTAATTGAGTGGATATCAGGGTCAAGGTGAGAGAAGAGTGAAAGATGTCAGATGTGCCATTCACAGGAAAAGAAAGTGGAAGTTGAGGAGCAGTATATTTGAGAGGAGAGAGAATAAATTCAGTTTTTAACATTGATTTTGAGGTGTTGATGAGAAACTTTAAGGTAGAGCTGGCCAGAGAGTAGTTGATAATGAGGGACTGTAGCTAGATGGGAATAGTTTAGGGCCAGACAGAGAATACACATTTAAAAGATTGCATATATTTGTGAGGGGTGAGAGGAAAAGTGAACTGACAATAGAATCTTGGGTAATTCCTATTTTTAGAGCATAGGTAGAGAAAGAGGAACTGGAGAAAAATCTTCAGAGGCAGAAGTGGAGCCGGGAGAGTGGAGTACAGGGAAACTAAGGAAGGAGAATATTTCAGTTTAGAACTGGGTTGATAATGTCAGATGTTACTAGGAGATTGGAGGACAAGGATTAGGAGAAGTCATTGAATTTAGTAACTTTGTGTCACTGCTCATCTTTGAGAGAGGAACTTTTCTGGAGAGGTGGGAGTAGAAGTCATATTGTAGTAGGTGTGGGTAGTGGTGAAGTGGATACGGTATTTATATGTATAGACTGTCCTTTAAAAAAGTTTGGCAAAGAAAGAGTGAGAGGAACAGGAATTTGGAGAAGCTGTCTGTAATTGAACAAACAAGGTTTCAAAGGGGAAACTGCAATTGTATCTAATTGCTTCCATTCCCCTTTCCTTCTTAAGAGTCTTGATACTGAGAGGTTAGAAATAGGAACCAAGACAGAACCTCTTTTGCAATTTTTATTCTTATTGAGAAGAACATCCTGCGCTGTATAGGTAGACTCCTAAAACGTGTAATATAATAGGTACTTATTTAAGATAATCGCAGATATTTTAAATAAAGTTTTTGATGAGGTATGACGTGTTTGAGAAGATTTGGGGTGGTTTCATAACTATCTTTTACAATTTGGAGACATGCTGTAAAGAAAGGATTAGACTGATTCTATTTGTTTCCAAGAGGTTGACCTATAACTGCTGGGTAGATGCTCTAGTGACACAGATAGGCACTGTAGAAGGACCTTTTAGGTACATTTTAACCCTTATCTTTTGTCATTCCATGGAGATAATTCTGTCATTCTAGGGAGAAATACTTCTCCTTAGAAGAAGCTTCAGTGTTCATGGCAGGGTTCATGTTTCTGTTGGGCCCGTTTAGCAGACTGTCCCACTTGATAGTGTAAAGTTAGCCTTCATAAGAGTTTCTATATTTTAAAGAATTTTCATCCATCTAAATTTTTTTTCCTCTAGAAATGGTTCCTGATGTCCAACAGCCTCTGTCACAGATTCCTTCAGATACAGCCTCTCCTCTTCTCATACTTCCACCTCCTGTTCCCAATCCTAGTCCTACCCTCCGGCCAGTTGAAACACCAGTCATGGGTGCTCCTGGTATGGGCGGTGTTTCCACAGAGCCAGATGATGAAGAGGGTCTCAAACATTTGGAGCAGGTAAAAATCCTATAATTCTTTTTGTTTCCTCTCAAACTGCCTTAAAAATTAGCAGGCGTTACATGAATATTCCAATATAGAACTTACGTGCTTTAGATTTTAAGTACTGGAAAAATTGGACATTTAGTCTTTATTTGTATGGGTAATTGTCTTTCAAATCCTTTCATGCTTATAAGTTTCTGCTATGTAGTAGTCATTATGTCAGGTTATTTTTTGCTCTTGGCTTGCCCTTAGCTGTTTACTTTTCTTTTTTCTTTTTGAACATTGATGGAATGCCAGAAATGGTGAATACAAGCAGCTGTGGATGGTCCCGGTGTCTTCTGTATTTTTTGCCTCAAGTGTAACAGGGAAAACAGTTAAACTCTCAGGGTATTTACATCTTATTCATGTCTCTAGATTTCCCTAAGATTGTATATACCATGCTTCCTTTTGTACAAAACAACTTCTCTTTCCTTTGGAGTGGGATAGTTAGTGGTAGGAAATGCTGAAGAAAGGAAGAAAGGGCCTAGTGTTTAGTAAAACTTGTGAAAGATTTTATTCGTAATTGTATTAGTTGAGTCTTTTGTTCTGTTAACATCCCTCTTTTTGCAGGTTTAGTTTATACAGTTTTAGAATTGAGCACCGACTTGTTAGTTTAAAAAGTACAATTAGCTGGGCCAGGTGGTACACACCTGTAGTCCCAGCTACTCAGGATGCTGAGGCACTGAGGCAGGAGGGTCAAGTCCTGCCTGGGCAACATAATGAGAACCCTGTCTCTTTTAAAAAAAAAAAAAAAAATACTCTTGTTAGTGTATTGATTAGAATCCTGGACTTTGATCCATACTTGTTCATGTTTTAATTTCAGTTTGTTTGCTTAATGATTTTGAGACCTTGAGCAACACTTCACATCTCCAAGCGTTAGTTTCCCTTTCTGTAAAATGGGGATAGTACCAATTTCATGGCACTGTTGGGAGAATTAAAATTACCTGCTATGTTCCTTGCTTAGTGTCTTTCATGGATCAAGTAGTTAAAAAAAAGTTAGACATTATGTATACAAGTATTAATTTATCTTCATTTGTTTCCTTAATCTGTTTTTTTTTTCCTGTTATTAGCAAGCTGAGAAGATGGTGGCTTATCTCCAAGACAGTGCACTAGATGATGAGAGATTGACGTCAAAACTGCAAGAGCACAGAGCTAAAGGTGTGTCAATTCCATTGATGCATGAAGCAATGCAGAAGTGGTATTACAAAGATCCTCAGGGAGAAATTCAAGGTAGGTTGTTCCTTTCTACTTTATGTACTGAAGTGTTTGCCATTACCTCCAGAATCTCTAAGAGGGGAATTTGTTTAAAGTTAATTTGAATAATAGTAGAGAAAGAAGTCAACAGGCTTTCTTCGTAATTATGAAGAAATACACACACACAGGTCAAGTATCTTTATCTGAAATGCTTGGGACCCAAAGTGTTTTGGATTTTGGAATATTTGCATTATATATACTGGTTGAACATTCCTAATTCAAAAATCCAAACTCTGAAATGCTCCCATGAACATTACTTTCAGCGTCATGTTTACGCTCAAAATGTTTCGGATTTTGGATTTTGGATTTTTTAATTAGGGATAGTCAACCTGCATGTGAAAATAATTTGAATACATGGCAGCACGTGATAACCAACATGGCAGGGATATAAGCAAAATACTTAAGACTCTGTCAGCTCTGGCATCCCAGCTGGGTAACTAGGCAGGTAACTTACTCATCTTCTCTGTGCTTTAGTCTCCCTGACCATGAAAAAGGTAATAACAATAGTGTTGGTGGACCTTGAATGTTTTTGTACAGTGAAGTTGATATAAATGGTAGAGAACTACTAAAAATATCTGAGAAAAGGTAGTACTATATTACAGATGAATCCCTTAAAAGATTTGTATGGTGCCTAAGTTAGATTAGATGGGTAGAGAATGCTGTATTTGTTGATTCTTCATTTCTGCTTTAGAAATTTTTGCTTATAAGCTGACATTGGTTGTTGACTGTATTAGGATGATTTTCATGATAGCATTTTACTGAGTATACCTGTGAGCTCTTTCCCAGTCTCCTTGCCCTACCTTATTCTCCTTCACAGCATTAATTGCTACCTGGATTGTGTATATTTGTTCATTGTCTACACCCCAGTTAGATTGTAAGATATATGAGAACAGGGCTTTGTATGTATGTGTAAATAAATAAACAAAAGTATTTTGGAATAACTGTGCCTTCATATACAATTGCAAGAAATAATACAGAGAGATTCCATGTACCCTTTACCCAGTTTCCCCCAATGGTAACCTCTTGCAAAACTATAGTACAATAACACAACGAGGATATTGACATTGGTACAGTGAAGATTCAGAACATTTTCATCGTGACAGAGATCCTTTGTGTTACCCTTTTATAGCTACATGCATTTCCCTTCTACCCATACCCCCTGGCAACAGCTAATCTGTTCTCAATCTCTGTATTTTGTCATTTTAAGAATGTTATATAAATGGAAGCATACCTTTGGGAGTTGACTCTTTTCACTCAGCATAATTCTCTGGAGATTCATCCAGGTTATTGCATATATCAATAGTTTGTTTCTTTTTATTACTGAGTAGTTAGTATTACATGATATAAATGTATCAAAGTTTGTTTAACCATTACCCATTGAAGGATTTGTGGTTTGTTCCAGTTTGGGGCTATAATGAATAAAGCTGCTATAAACACTCATGGATAGGTTTTTGTGTGAACATAAGTCTTCATTCCTCTGGGCTAAATGCCCAGTAGTATAATTGCTGAGTTGTATGGTGGTTGCACTTTAGTTTTTCTCTTTCTTTATTTTTTTAATTTTTTTTTTCCCTCGATATGTTCTGCACAGATGCACATTTAGTTTTTAACAGAACTGTCAAGCTGTTTTCCAGAGTGGCTGTACCATTTTGTATGTTCACCGGCAATGTGTGAGCGATCCATTTCTTCATATCCTTACCAGCATTTGATGTTGTTGCAGTTTGCAAATTTTACACATTCTGGCAAGTGTGCAGTGCTGTCTCATTGCAGTTTTTAATTAGCATTTCCCTAGTGGCAAATGATGTTGAACATCTTTTTATGTGCTTATTGGCTATGTTTGTCCTCTTCAGTAAGATGTCTTTTGTTCATGTCCTAATTGCATTGGATTTGCTTTTATTTGCTTTTATTAATTGTTTTTCCCCCTTATTTTTAAAAATTGTGTTAATATGCACATAAAATGTATCTTAACAGTTTTTCAGTGTATAGTTCAGTGGTATTAACACATTCATAATGTTGTACAGCCATTACCACCATCCACATCTATAATTATTTCGTCTTCCCACGTTGAAACTTTATGCATTAAATAATAACTCCTCATTTTCTCTTCCCCCAAGTCCCTGACAACCAACATTATACAGTCTGACTCTGTGATTTTGACTTCTTTAAGCAACTCATAAGTGGAACCATACAGTGTCTGTGACTGGCTTATTTCGCTTAACATAATGTCCTCAAGGTTCATCCATGTTGTAGCATAGGTCAAAATTTCCTTTTTAAGGCTGAATAGTATTCTACTGTATGTATATACCACATTTTGCTAAATCCATTTCATCTGTTATGGACACTGGGTTTGTTTCCATGCTTTAGCTATTATGAATAAGGCTGCTATGAACATGGATGTACAAATATCTCTTTGAGACTCTTATTTTCAATTCTTTTGGGTATGTATTCATAAGTGGAATTGCTTGATCATGTTGTAATTCTACTTTTAATGTTTTAAGGAACTGCCATACTGTTTTCCACATTGGCTTTACCATTTTACATTCCCACCAACAGTGCACAAGAATTCCAATTTCTCCACAACCTTACCAGCACTTATTTCTCCAAAGAAGATATGCAGATGGCCAATAAGCACATGAAAAGATGCTCAACATCACTGATAATCAGGGAAATGCAAATGCAAACTACAGTGAGCTACCACTTCACAGCCATTTGGATGGCTACTATTAAAAAAAAAAAGTCTGTTCAAGTTCTTTGCCCATTTTTAAATTGGGTGATTTATTTTTTTGTTGATTTTTGGGAACTCTGTATATTCTGGATATTAACCTCTTATCAGGTATATGATTTACAAATATTTTCTCCCCATTTGGTGGGTTGCCTTTTTACTCTGGTCATACTGTTTTTTGCACTATTTTTTTTTTTTTAATTTTCAGGGAATTTAATTTGTCCATTTTTTCTTTTGTTGCTTATTCTTTTAGTGTCATATCCAAGAAATCACTGTTACATCTACTGTTGTGAAGATTTTGCCCCTGTATTTTCTTCTGAGAGTTTTATAGTTCATAGTTTTAGATCTTTCATGCATTTTGAGTTAACTTTTCTATATGATATGAGGTAAGGGTCCAACTTCATTCTTTTTTTTTTT